AGGAGGCAGAAGGTGACTTTCCCATCCCAGGCTGGAATTTGCAAGAGGAGTCCTCTGAGGTGAAATCCCATTGAGATTCCGAACTGTATCCTAACTCCTGTCTCCAGTGTCCCTCCCTCTCTGCTTCCGCTCTTCCTCCTTGCTCACCCTCAGATCGGAGCACACATGCGTGCACACACACACGCGCACACACACACGCACACACACACGCACACACACGCGCGCGCGCGCGCGCACGCACACACATGCACGCACACACATGCACACACGCGCGCACACGTGCACACACACACTCATACGCACACACACACAGGAGGTAAAGCAGTTCCAAAAGCAGGAGGGAGAAACTGAACTGGAGGTTGGGTGATGGGAAGGAGGTAGGAGAGACCAAGGCAGGAAGGGGAAAAGAAGAAATAGAGCCAGAGGAAGAGAAAGGCAACCCTGAGGAGTCAGGGAAAGCGACGGAGAGGGGGAGAGGAGGTCAAAGGGAGACACTGGAGAAAGAAGAGCAAAGAAAGAAGTGGCCAAGGGGAAAAATGAAGACGGAGAACGAGGCAAAGAGGAGATGGCTGACATTCCAAGTAGGAGGCCCAGGATGGGAGAAGGCAGTGGAGTGAGTGCGGGAGAGCAGAAGGATGGGAGGAGGACGGAGGAGGAGGAGAGAAGGCATGGAAGGGAGCGGGGAGGAGAAGGCGAGGATGCGGGTGCGTCTTCCAAGTGAGGGCGTTCACAGCGGCCCCCTCGCAGGTCCCCAGAGCAGCACATGGGCCGTTCACAGCGGCCCCCTCGCAGGTCCCCAGAGCAGCACATGGGCCGTCTTGACTCACAGCTCATTTAGGGCTTGCTGCTTTCAGCTTGTCTCTGTGAACTCTTGGAGGGGCTTCCAGCTAGTAAATAAAGTGGCGTGCCAAGATTCCCTCCCGAGGCCAGCAGCCATTTCGCCATTTCCATTGCTGCTTGTCCCCACTGCCCTTCTCCTCACCCCACCTGCCCTTTATGACTAAGGAGCAGCCCAGGGTCCCATCCAGCACCCACCCACCTGGCTCCAGGCCACCTGCCCCCTTCGCCAGCATCCCTGCCTCCATCAGGCTCTCAAGGGCTCGTGACAGAAGCCATGAACTTGGAGAGCGTGGAATCCTTTCTGAGCACTTACTATCCCCTTATAAGGGATAGGTTTCCCTGAGACATATTTTCTTTGCCCTTTTCAAAGAACGGATCTTTCTCCTGCCTTCTTAAGTTCAATCCAGAGAACACGTTTGGAGCATCTGCCACGTGCCAGGTACCAGTGTTACTACCGGGAAGGAGACGCACTGTGTGTCCTCGGGATGCACACAGTCTAATGAGAGACAGAAATATGTGGAGCCGGGTTTCATGGTGCCCCAACATTAGACAATTGGGAAGGAAATAAAGAAATAAGGAAACAAACCATAAAATTGCTAGGAACATTGAGCCAGGGCCTCCCCTGGGGTTTTGGAAGAACCCACATAGGAGAATCCCAAGTTACATCCTCCTTCCTGGAGCGAGCAGGACGAACACCCCCACCCCAAGCCACCCAGGTGACAACAAGGCAGAGGGGTTCGCAAAGGGAAGTTGGGCTGACCACTAACTAATTAACGAATTCAACCCCGATGTTTATCCTTTCTCTCTTTGCTCTCTTTTTCTATCTTGTGAATAAAGGAACGCATGAATGATGCATTCAGCAAATACTTACTTAGGGCTCCTATCATAATCTGGACAAAGACCTAAGGTGGCTTAAACAAGCCAGGATTTCTCTCTCCCACATCACGGCCTGGGCAAAAGCAGCCCAAGGCTGCTGTGGAATCTCCTTGGTTTCAAGGACCCAGGCTCTTTTGATCCTGTTGACCATCCGTTCCTGGGGTGATGCTCTTCAGCCACAAGGTCAAAGACGGTTCCCATTCCAGCAGGAAGAGGAAAGGAGAAAGTGAAAAGCACCCCCACCCTTCCCTTTCATGGCAGACCTAGAAGTTCAGACCCCACTTCTCCTCACAACTCATTGGCTAGAACATGGTCCATGGCCACAAACAGATGCCAGGGACATGGGTGGTCATGTCCGCCCAGATCACGGTGTTGCATGGCTATAGGACAAGAGGATGGATGTTGTGGACAACTAGAAGTCTGAGACAGCCTGCCTTAGGTACTGTGCTGTCTAGGAAACCAAGATGCAGAAGTAGTTCTGGTCGTTTCCAAAGCCACCAGTGACAAAGCTGAACTAGACCAGCTGTCACTGTGAGCGCTCACCTTCATTGCTTCTTTGTGGGATCTCTAACTCTCTCTACCAGACCCCAAATGTTGGCTGAGGATGAAACACTATGATTATCGAAGGGGAGGTTAGAGGAAATGGAGGCAATATAGACTATGAAGAAGTTGCCAGGAAAAGGAAAAAAAAAAAAGAGGAATAGTGGTGTGGAAACCAAGTTTCAAAAACTTTACCCATTTCAGACGTCCAGAGTACCAGAGCAGGATGAGGGTCAAAGATTCACCAATGTGGAGGTCAAAGGTGACCTTTGCCAAATCAGTTTCAGTGAAGCGGTGGGGGGGTGAAACCTGAAGAGAGTAGGTTTGTGAGTGAGTGGGAAATGAGGTGTAGAGACAGAGAAAACAGGGAGTAACTGAGGCACTGGAGAGCAGGAAGGATTTGAGGAGAACAAAGGATCCAGGGCCATGTCAATCCAGAGGGTAAAGAATCAGCAGAGAACATGAGACTACAAATACCCGGCAAAAACGCAGTTAGGCTGCTTAACCACAAACCAAACTCACAGTGGCTTCAACAAGATTCAGGCTTACTTGTCTCTCACTTAAGAATCTGAGCATACACAGTCAAGCGCCGACCGGGGACTCCGTGGCATTGAGAATCCATGTTCCTTCCACCTCATTACTCAGTCCTGCTCAATGAGACGCTTCCATCCTGTGGTCCAAGATGGCTGCTCCAGCACCCGCCATCAGGTCCACATCCCAGCCAGGCAGAAGAAGGAAAAGGGAAAGGAAGATTCCCTGTGTCTTAAAGGCACCACCCAGAGGTTGCTCACCTCACATCTGCTCACATTTTCATTGACCAGACTTGGAGACTTGGCTATATCTACCTGTCAGGGAGACTGGGACAGAGTAATCTTTAGCCGAGAGACCAGATAGATGCCCAGGTAAAAGTTAGGGGACCTATGACTGAAGAAGGAGAGGACGGCGAGTCGTCAGCCCTAAAAGACCTAGAACAAAGGATAGGTTCAGCCCTGAGTGGGAGGAGGCACGCTGCCACTGTCGCCGGGACGAAGACGTGGGAAAGCTGATGGGATCGGAAGGGAATGGGAAACAGGGAACTCTCGCCAGGTCACCTTTATTTTCTCTGCAAAGTGGGACTCAGAGTTCTCACTGAGAGGCTGGCTCCCAGAGAGCCGAGAGGAGAGAAGGCTCGCTGAGCCTCTCTCCCCATCTTGTGTATGATCCGTTAGGGTGGGGCCATGCACTTGTATTAATAGATGCCCTGAGGTGGTTCAAAGAACAGCCGTGCTTTTGGAGTCTTGAGCTTCATTCCAAGCTCTGGGCTTAGCTGCTCTATGACCTTGGACAAGGCGAGAAATCTCAGTTACTCTGTTAAATGGCCATAAGGGATGGAGTTGCCGGGGCACGGCTAAGCCTTGAAGGGAGGCAGGAAAAGGCTAGAAGGAAAGGTTGTAGGGACAGGACAGGCTCCCACACAGGCTGCCCGCACCCACCTGCCCCCTCCAGGAGATCTCGGTTCTGCTCACCCCTGGCCCAGCATCAGAACCCCTCTGCTGTCCAGGTGAGGGTGACAAAGGAGGGAGTCAGCCTCTGTTATGTCTTGAGATCACTATCACAGAACCTTGGCTTTGTCCCCTGCACTTGGCCTTGGAAGCTCTCCTGTGACCTCTCCCTGACCCCAGGGCACCACCCCGAGTTCCTGGCCTCAACCCAGTAAACAGTGTGAATTTCTCCACCAGGCCTTTGGCCTAGCAGAGCCAGCTCATCCAGTGCATGCACACTCACACACACACACTCACACACACACACTCACACACACTCACACACACACACTCACACATACACTCACACACACACACACACACACACGCTGCCTGCATACACAAGCATCACATATGACACACCACACATACGACACACATCACACAGCACATACATGTAAACACACCACATACATCACAAACTGCACACACACACACACCCCGCATGCACACAGCTCCCACCTACACACCACACACACACATACACACTGCCTTCTTTCTAACTGGTCTCTCTCTATCCCATATCACACCCCTCCATTCAACCCTCTATACAACTGCTTAAGCGATTTTTCTAAAACATAGATGAGGCTACTTTTTAGTTTAAACTCCTTTCCTTCTCCCAGTGGCTTTCCAGAGCCTTCAGGCTAAAATTCTAGCCCCTTGCCAAGCTCCTGAGGCCATCCGTGTGGCCTGTGGTCCCTGATGACCCCCTTCAGCTGTCCCTACCTTCCTGCCCCACTGGTCAACCTGGACCAGTTGCCCGTTCCCCTGCCCTATGTCCCTGCCTCACACCTCTGCAGAGAATGCCTCTGCTGCCTAGTCCACCTGAACATCGCACTGATTCTCCCAGACCCTGATCAGAGCTCACCCCTTCTACAAAGATTCCCTCCACTCCCCAAGTAGCAGCTTGCTTCTTCTCCGGCAGGTATGTCGTGGAATGACTTGTTCCCTATGTCTGTATCCCCCGCTACGCACGTGACCTTCTCAAAGTCACTATATATGGCATCAGGTGGCTGCTCGGTGAACGCTGGGCGGGCGGCACTCACCTGCTCATCCGTCCACACAGATCAAAGTGGAAAACCAGCTTGACTACCAGGACATCACCAGCATGGTAGCTATGGCCAAAACCTACGCCACCACCGAGGCCTTCATCGACTCCAAGTACGACATCCGCATCCAGAAAATCGGATCCAACTACAAGGCTTACATGTGAGTCCCTGGGCGGGGGGCGGGGAGCAGGGAGAAGAGGAGGGAGCGGGGTGTGGGGAGAATGGAGGTTAGAGATGTGTGTCTGGCCCTGTCTCCTCCACCCAGGCCGAGACCCCATCAGCACGTCACCACTCTCCCTTTCCACCTCTGTTACTGACCTTCTCTGGTCTGTACGCCTGAGGGCTGACGTTTCACCACAGCTTATCCCAGGGTGAAACCTGTCTCCCCAAACGAGGGCTGCCTTCCCAGAGGAAAGACAAACTGGCATGTTTGGGGGGAACGTCAAGTACATACAGGACATACATCATTGGAGAAAAGACTGAAAGAGGAACCTGGGGACACAGCAAGGAGGGCCTTGAATGCCTTGCTAAAGATTTTGCATTTTCTTCTATTTCCTTGCGAGAAGAGACGTGGCATGCTCTGATCTGTATTAATGAAGATGGCTCTGAGGCCATGGGCTGCAAAGGGGTTTCTCCGGAACCAATAAGACCAGCTAGGAGATTCTATGAGATTCTATCGTATTTCTCTGGCTGCAAGCAGCAGAAATCACATCTGACTGGTTTGATGGAGCTTTGTAAAGGGCATTTATTAGAAAATCATGGATGATCAGAAACTCAAACTAACCAATAAACAAAAGCGCTAAATTATCAATATAAGAAATATTTAGGATCCAGAGCAGCCCCCGGGATCTGGGTGGCCCGAAGCAATAGACAATCTTCATGGTACCCCAATTGGGAAGCGAGTCTGCCCTAATCATTTTCAGGACTTAACTCAAAATTATGATTTCATGGCAACAATGCTGATTAGTCCAACTTGGGTCATGGGCTTTGGTTAGAGAAAGGCAGAAAACCAGTCTGGAAGGTCCCACCAAGATGGCGTGTAATAGTGAAAATAGAGATGCATGACTAAGGGAAAACCAATGAGTGATAGAAAATCCAGCACACACTCACCCCAGGGTGGCTAGGGCAAAGAGTGACTCAGCTGGAGCCTATTAGGATGAGGGTGAGTTCTTGACCAGGTGGGAGGGAGGTCTTTAGAGAGGCCTGACGTGCTCCAGGGCCTCTCTCTCACTTTTGGAATGTTGCTGTTGGTTCCCCTTGAAATGATGAGTCCCTGGAGAGCCAACCAGTGCCTGCTTACCAAGCAATTATGGAGCACTGACTGTGTACATGGTTCCATGTTGGAGGACTGCAATGTCTAGCTCTGGACAGCTGGAGACCTCTGTGTGCTTCTGGGAGGTAGAGCTTATGCTCTAGGTCAGGGTCAGCAAACCACAGCCCACACGCCAAGTCCAGCTGCCACCTGTTTCTGTAAATAAAGCTTGATCCACCACAGCCATACACACCCATGTATGGTTATTATCTTGTGCCGCTTCTGCACAGCCTAGACCAAGGGTCAGCAAACTTACTCTGCAAAGGGCCAGGTGGTAATCGGGGGGCTTTGCAAGCCATACAGTCTGTGCTGTAACTACTCCACTCTGCCATTTCCTGGGCAACCGGAGATGATGCGGGCAGTTGACCTGTAAGGAAATATGCCCAGGAAAGGGATAGAGCCAATTCCCAAAGAATACGTCTGCCCTGTCCTGCCCGTCACTCATTCACTTCCACCCACATGCCAGACCACACGTGTCACCACCCTCAGATGCCCTCAGGGTGATCATGAATCGTGATGGCCTCCTCTGCCCCCTCTGAGTTAGGGGACATTTCAGTGTGGTGGTCCAGTGCATTCCTGAGGCCTCCACCATCCATCATGATATCACTTCCCTCCTCCCCTCATTGTTAGAGTTTCCACTTGACATTGACGACACCTTGTCCTGGTTTCTCTTCTTAAGGATTACCTCATTGCCGCATTCTTTATGCTGAGCCTTCCTTCCCTGACAGCTCCAATTTGTCATTAGTTATGGCATTTCCTGGACCCTGGGTTGGCCCAGATCCAAGGGAGGGGGTTCGTGTCAGACCGCAGCATAGAACTCCTCTCCACCCCTGACCATTCAGCCTCCTTTCTGCCCTATTTCCTGCCCTGCACTCAGGCCTTTGTGCTGGTTGCTACTTTGGTGTCATTGTTTTCAGGGCCTCTCAGCAAACAGATCTAGGAAAGACATATGCGTATCTTAACCCGTGTATACGCGCATATCGGTAGTTATTTCTATAACAATATCCATCTACATCTAAAGCTCAGTGGAGTTCGTATTGATGTCTCAGACTCTCGTCCAGTACCACGATTCATTTTAGCCTTGCCAGATTGCTTAGCTGTAACTTCCCACTCCAACAGGGAAAAACCTGGCTCCCACCATCCCATACCATTTACTTATTTGTTCAATCCCAGCATCCGTGTACAGTTGAAGAACCATTAACCCATAGGCTATGAGAAACACGACCAGCTTACCTACAGTTCCTTTTGTACTTAGTCATCCAGTCGCCCCTCATTTCCAAGGTTGCTTTAGGTCGGCTCCTTTCCCTCACCCCCGCCCTTGCCCTCCACAGCAAGGGGGTAAATGTCATACATTTGCAATATAGATAGATTCTTTGTCACAGTCCACATTCCAGCCAACATTCCAGCAGCTGCATCACATTTGGGCCAACTGACTATTTTCCCCAAGCCTGACATGGGCTCTGCCATGGACAGTCATAGTTAAGAGCATGGGGTTTCTCAGACACGGTTTGGTGGCTTCTGCCACTAAGTGGGAATGATAACAATACTAGTGCCCGCATCATTAGGCTTTGTGAGGCTGAAATAAGCCAGAGTCTTCAGACCCATGTCTCACACATAGAAAGCACTCATTAAACATCAACTCTCACTATCATTATCTTCTTGGAAGGACAGCAGGCTGGCTGCGTTCCTGCTGCTTCTGGCGTGCGAATGCCTTCTTTTCTTGTCTCCACTTCCTGAAAAATAATAGTAGCACCTGTTAGACCAAGAGATTTATGGGAATAGTTCCTTTCATCTACACAATACCCTGTAAGGACAGTACTTTCATTATTCCCATTTTACCAATGAAAAAAAAATACAGACTGAGCAGTGGTCCCTGGTTATACAGCTAGAAAATGCTGGAGCCAAGATTCAAACTCACATCTCACTGACTCAAGTCAGTGCTTACCTTCTCTTCCCACCATATAGATTCCATTAGGCCAAACCCTACTCATTTCAGTGGCTACCTGCTGGGGTCACATTAAGTGACTGTGGTTTCTTCTTTGCTTCCCCAGAGCCCTTCACTCCTTATGTATATTGATAACCCTACCATGCCTATACTCTGATTTTAGGTTAGTCTGCCCTTGTAGGTAGTGAGCAGCCTGAGGAGGGGGGCATCTCAGCACCCTTAGACCACGTCCCATGACATACGGTGGCCCACTGAGTGTTCGCCAGATTGAATTGAGTTGAGTTGAACTGCCGAAGGAAACTGAACTGACATAAAGCTTATCAATGTCGCTGCACCCCTTAGTAAATATGATTCCTAGTGGCCACCATCTGTTCTCAGAATCCGCTGTCCTCAAATACATTTTATTTTCTCTTTTAGAAGGACATGTTTTTACAGCAATGCCTCTCCCCAGTTCACCCTTTAATCTCAACCACATGCCTCACCTTGGCCATAAAACAGACAGCTTTACCTCTGCCACTTTGCTGAGTCTGGGTTTGCCAGTGGAGATGGTTTGTCTCCAGAATACACAGTCCCTTAGCTACCTCCTACATGCCAGGTCCCACTGGACATCAGCAGGTGAGTCAAACCTGTCTCCCGCCCTCAGGGAAGACATGACACTAACGCAGTCATTACAGGTGGGATGAACATTACTAGGCATTGGTATAGGGTATAGTGTAGGGGGGTCTACTCTTGTTTGGGGAAGTGGGCTGCCAAAAATCACATTTCAGATGAGACTTGAAGGATGAGTGGGACTTAGGGAACCAAAGATAGAGATGAAGACTGGATCAGGCAAAGGGGAGATGCGTGGGGGCCTTGACAAAAGGACAGAGTGGTGAGCATCTTTGACTTCCCCCAGCCAAAGGGAAGTCAGTTGTTGGTGGAACAGAAAAGTCAAGGGAACTGAGAGGGTGATGAGGCCAAAGGCCTCCTTCTCTTCACTATGGAAGAGTAATCACTTTTCTCCATGGGTCATTTTCCCCACATTTTGGGGCTCTCAAAAAATTCCAGAATCACCAAGGGTTATACTGCCCTAGTTCGCCTTCTCAAAAACAGAGGCCCAAGGTTTGGGGGATTTCATCTGATGGTGTAGACATTTTCCTAATTTAGTTTTTGATTTCAAAGGTGGCTTTGGAAAAGATACATAAGATCCAAGAAATAAAGCAATCAACATGAAAAATAAAGCTAAGGACAGGATGTGTACCTAAGAATCCATGTCAGAATGTGAGCCAAATATTTGAATCAGAGCCTCCTAACGGCCAAAGCAAAGAAGGAAAGCAGATCAGTGACAGATGTCCCTAATGCCCTCACTATGTTATTCGTTCTGATCCAGGAGAACCTCCATCTCTGGAAACTGGAAGGCCAACACAGGCTCTGCCATGCTGGAGCAGGTGGCCATGACAGAGAGGTAAGAGACAAAGAAGGGGCGTAGGGAGAGGCAGCAGCCATGGTGGAAGGTGGGTGAGGGACACAACGAGGAGCCTGCAAGGGATGCCACCTCACCCTGTGGTCAGTGCCTCACCACCGACAGGGCACTTTCTTAGGCAGGGTCCCCTTTATTGCCCATTGCAACCTACAGGGGGCAGGTATTATAATAACCCCATTTTACAGATGGGAGAAGAAAGTTCAGAGAGGGAAAATGACTTGTTCGGGGTCACAGAGCTGATCAATGACAGAGCTGAGACTAGAACTCTAATGTCTTGACTCCAAATCCAGGGGCCTTTCCACTCCTGCCCAGCTGCTGCAAGGAGAGAAGAAAGAGTCCTCACCAGTCCCTCCCTGCTCTGACAGCTGCATAGGAGCACCAGGGCTACTGGGAGTGTCCACTCCTCTCTCAGACTTATTTCCATCTCAGTGTGAGGAGGGAGAGGTTGGTTTCCTATGAATCATTCATGTGACCTCAGTGTGCTCTGGCTGAAGGTCCCTCAGGTCTTTGTCCCTTTAAACACTGCTGTGAGCCACCCTGCCCTGAAGAAGGGCCAGTCACCTGGCTCTCAGGGCCTGCAGCACACACACGCTCTTTCCTGCATGCTCAGTGGCCTAGGCATGCAAGCATGCAATGGTGCTGGACAGAGCAGGGGCTGTGGGGTCAAAAAGATCTGTTAATGAACACGAATTGAGTGCCTATTACATTCCATGTTGTGCTGAGCATGAAAGCGGTCAAGATGAAAAGATCCAATCTATCCCTTTAAGAATTCTCTATCAGTTGCAAGCATCAGAACACAAATCAGATTGGTTGGAGCCCAAAGTGGGATTTATTAGCTTGTGGCAATGAAAATGCCAGAGACACAGCTCCAGGTAAGACTTTAGGAATCATTCTACCCACTTCAGTTCAGCTTTCTTCTGTGTTGGCTTCAGTCTGGCCAGCTCGCTCAACTGGTGGCCCATAGTGACTCCAGGCTTACATCCTGATAGTGTCAAGTCCAGGAGAAAGCATACTTCTCTTTCCAACCATTTCAGCCAAAGCCTGGGCTTGAGCCTTATTCACTGATTTGCCTGGCTCAGGTCACATGACTATCCCAGAACCAATCACCGTGGCTCAGAAAGCTGCACCGCTGTGATTGGATAGGCCTATCTCACATCTGCCCCTGGGGGTTGGGGTGGGATCACGCTGCTCTAGCAACAATGACTGAGTGAGATTTAGGGAGGGATATACCGCCAAGGAATATTAAGAAGTCTTTAGTAGGAAGGAAAACAAATGTTGTGCAGACTAAAACTATAGATGTCCGCTCCCAGCTCCCCAGCTAACAAAAGAGACAAAGAGTGTGGTAATATTAGGGTGAAAGTGAGAGTTGGGTGCTTGCAGTGGGAGCACAGAGAAGAGGCACCACACTCAGACTCGGGAGGGTTGAGGTCAGGGAAGGCTTCCTGAAGGAGGTGGTGCCGGAATCACGTGGTAAAGAATGAGGAGAGATTGGGAGGCATTCCTTTATTACTTTGTCAGTTATTTGTTGAACACATACTGGGAGCCAGTTATTGAGCTAGGCCCTGGGGACACGGTGGAAAACAAGACGGACATGGTCCCGACCCTCATCGAGCTCTAAACTGAGGAAGTGAATGGTCTTGCCCCGTCCAAGCTGTGTTACCTAGGGTAAGTTAACTAACCTTTCTGATCTTCTTCAGCTGTAAGTCACAGTGCTAGTAGAGAGTGATGTTCAGTACCTAACCCAGTACTGGCCCATGCAGGAGGGGCGCTGTGAACGCTGGCTTTCTTCCCTTTCCTTCAGCCACAGGTGGAAGCTGCTGTCTTCAGTCTTGGAACCCACCTATGCTAACCAGCCTGAGGGTGGTGTGCTCATTACCTGGCACAACAAATTACCTGGTCTGGGGCAATCACATCCTTCTCCCAGTGGGCATTCATGGGACAGTCATGGCCCTGTTCTCCATGACCTTTCGGACTGTGAGCCAGCCTTCCCCAATGCCTCCTGAGCTGATCATAAATGTCCCCAGCAGGCCACCATCATTGGCTTTGCTCAGTCCTGGGCCACGTGGGCCCTCGTTGCAGGAGCCTGCCATAGCAACGGGTCTGCTCTGGCCTGGAATTCACTTTCCCTTCTGCAAAGTCATAGGTAGGACCCCAAGGCCTGGGACAGAGCTCCCCAGTCTCATCTTCACAGGGGAAAATCCCTGGGGGCACATAAACAGGCCCCAACCCCTCCCTCCACCTGGCTAACTTCTTGCCCGGTAGCCTGGGCAAAACCAGTGATGTGGCTTGGTCAGTGCTAATCCCACCAGGCTGGAGGGGAGCATGGACCCCATGTTCTCCAGACTCTCCCACACTGCTCCACCCATGAAGTCCCTTCCTGGGTCCTGGGGTACAGAGACCTGTGCCCCATCGGGTCATCCGGTAGATGACCCGGAAGTTCATCATTGAAAACAACCTATAGAAACCAGTTGCCTCTGGGCCTAAATCCAGATTTCTGTCTCAGAGCACTGATGGAGCTGTCCCACCAGCCAGCCATTGGTGCCAAATACTGGGACCCAGATCAGAGAGCCTAGGGTGCTCTTAGAGCTCCGAGGACCAAAGGTTGTCCTGAAACGTGGCTACACACTAGAATCACATGGGAAGCTTTAAAAACTTTTAGAGGGCCGGCCAAGTGGCTCAGTTGGTTAAGAGCTTGCTTAAGAGTGCGAGCTCTGAGCAACAGGGTTGCTGGTTCGATTCCCACATGGGCCAGTGAGCTTCGCCTGAGCTGAGCTGCTGCTACGCTGCCACCAGGTGGCAGGATGGCTCAGCTGGTGAGAGCATGTGCTCCTAACAACAAGGTTGCCTGTTAGAGATGGTGGACTACACCTGCCCACAGCTAAAGACTGAACTCAGCACCTTGAGCTGAGCTGCCACCCGGATGGCTCAGGGGATAGAACACGCACTCTTAACAACAAGGCTGCTGGTTTAACTTCCGCATGGGATGGTTGCTACGCCCACCTGCAACTAATTGAACACAGCACCTTGAGCTGAGCAGTGCGACTGGACTTGGAGCTGAGCTTGCTGTGCCCTCCACAACTAAGATTGAAGGACAACTTCTACAGATGCTTCTAACATGGGGCAAGGCCCCCAAATCTGGCTGTTTATTTGCATGCTTGTTTGCTTACCTCTTCTGACAATTCTAATGCACAACTAGAATCAGACCTAGGCCTTCCCATTTTTCAGATAGGGAAACTGAGGCTGCAAGAGGGAAAGGCTCACCCAAAATAATTGATGAAATTAATAGCAAGAATCCAGGTCACTGGTCTTCCATGCTGATGTGTTCTGACAGAGAGGAAGAGTGGCTTGTTTGGACTGTGGAATCAGACAGGACTTGGGTTTGGAAACCAGCACAATCATTTATGAACCTCTCTGAACCTCAGTCTCCTCATCAGTAAAACGGGTTAAACCTTCTTGATAGAGTTGTTATAGGAGTTATGAGAATGAGGAATCAACCCCCCACGGAATGCCTGGCACATAGTAGGAGCTTAATGGGTGTGTTTTCATCCTTTCTTTACTTCTCTGATCTCACATACTCCTTACTACAGCTGAATGAAAGAATTGAACTAGGAGCCAGGAGATCTGGGTAATCCTGGCTCTATTACCATCTTGCTGTGTGACCTGACCAAGCTGCTCTCCCTCTCTGGTCCTCAGTGGGCACTGGCAGATAAGATGAGAGAGTTTGTTCTAAGAATACTTGAGCCACGATCTCTCCTCATTCCAGGCCTTAGAGCTCAGAGACACAAATAGATCTCAGAGAAGGCATGCCCCGTGTGACCCTGGAGAGCGGGGAGAGAAGCAAGGACATTGACACAAAGCCCCCTGTGACTTCCAAATCCAGCCACCACAGGGGAAGCCAAGTGCAAGCCCAGGAAGACTTCTCAGACACAACCGTCCCCTTGTTGCAGGGGCAAAGTCCAGCGTGGAGATCTTTCCCCTACAAAGCAAACTGGCCTCACAGCCATCAAGTGGCTGGAAAGAGAACAAAACCAGCAAGTCCACAGGGCCAGGCCCTTGGCCCGGGAGCAGCCTGCCAGGCTCCCCCACCGGCCCACCCCAGGCTCAGGGGAGAATGCGCCCTTTGTCCCCCTCAGGCTCTCATCTAGCCCGGCGCTGGGGCTGGAAGGGCGGCCTGGGAGGGATTTCTGGAGCCCCTTTGAGCAGCTTTCCCAAGGGAAAAGTACTGCAGAGGCGGCTGAGCATCCGGGATGGCTCTGGGTGGGGGCAGGGCCAGCTCCCCACTCCTGTGGAGCCAGCAAGGTTCTGGGGTGGAGCTGGGGACCCCTCCCAACTCGTATTCCTTCTCCCCTCATCCTTCCTGTCCCCTGCCTGCCTGGCCCCTTCCTGCTCTCTGTCCCTCTCTCACTGTCCACCTCTGCCTCTGCCTTCTGTTGTTTTTTGCTATTCTCTCTCTCCTACTGTCTCGCTGTCGCTGTCTGTGTTTCTGTGTCTTTTTGTCTCTCTGTCTCCTGTTATTTCTTACCATCTCTTTCTGTCTCCGAATGAGCGCACGTGTGTCACTGTGTGTCTCACCGCCTCTTCTCCTGTGCGTCTCTGCGTCTCTCCATCGCTCTCTCCCTCTGCTCCCCCTTTTCTGCTCTCGCCCCCTACATTCACTGTCTGTCTATCCATCCCTGCAGGTACAGGCTGTGGGTGGACAGCTGCTCAGAGATGTTTGGTGGCCTGGACATCTGTGCTGTCAAGGCCGTCCACAGCAAGGATGGCAGAGATTACATCATCGAGGTGAGGGGTGAAGCCGAGGGCCTCCTGGCTGGGTCTGAGGGAAGGAATCCAAGTGTGGCCTCCAGCACGGTCAGCTGTGTCCTAACCCGTGGCCCGGACGCATGCAGCCCAGAGGCTTCTCAGCCACCAGCCCCACACAACCCCCGTCCCCACCCTCAGCTGTACCGAAAGCCTACGCACCCAGGGGTTCTGAGCGGGGCCTCGAGAGCTCCAGGCATGAGGTTTGACGACTTTCCGTAACACATGGGCCTAAGGGCAGGGCAAAAACATCAGGCTGAGAGCCAGCCAGATCCTGTCCCGTTGAGCCTCTTCAGTTTTCAGCGTCCAACTGCGTCAAGTCACCACAAAGAGTTTCCGTCCTCTGTTCATTCAACAAACATGGACTTCAGGGCTCTCCAGGGCTAGGCATGGGTGCAGCTCTGGGGACAAAAAAACAGACAGGGGGTCTGCAGGCTTGCAGGGAAGAAGGATGATAAATGAGTACTAGCAGAGCACTGAAGGTTGGTAAAGAGAATACAGCCGTGCAGGGGTGTGAATGCAGGGAAAGCTGTAGGGAACGTAATTGTAAGAGAGAGGCTCGAGGGGCTGTGGGTCCCGGAAGCTCCCCTGTGTCTCCTGCAGCCCTCAGTGCCCTGCTGTCCTCCAGGACTGTCACCTACATGTGTCTGGAGTCCTACACCCTGGCCCCACACCAACTTCGCCTCTATGCTTCTCCTAATCTCACAATCCCCCTCTCTCTTGCGTGACCCCTCCCACTTCCTTATGGTCCCCAGTCCTCCCCTATGCCTCCCCCTACCCCCCCCCCACCCCCGCAAGTGCCCCTTTGTGTTTATCCCAACCCCACAATCCCTCTCTCTTCTCCATGACCCCTCTGTGTCTCTCCTGGTCCCACAAGCCTCCTCTCCCTCCCCGACTCCCCTGCCCTGCCCCCCACCATCACAGCTCATGATTCTCCCCTGCTTTCCCCTGAAAATGCCCCAATGGTCTCAGGGTTCTCCCCTCTCTCCCCAGTTCCACATCGCGCTTACACACACACACACACACCTCCCAAGAGCCCCTTCTAGCACTCCCTTTCTGTGGCCTACTCCTCAAACCATAGCAGAGGGGCAGGCAGTGCTGATACCAGGCCAAGACACGTGAGGGAGAGCCCTGCAGCTGTCCCCTCCCGGGGTGTGGGCAGCTAACGGGAAGCACATGGCTGGGGTGACCACAGGAGCCAGCAAGTCCTCCAGGCCCTCGTGTCTGCACCACTCCCCGAGACCCACAGTGCAGCAGGACCAGTGACCGACGACGGGCGGAAGCTCGGCTGTTCTCCCCCAGCCATGCCAGGAGGGCACTCACACCCGTGCCCAGGGAGTGGCCACCGTTGGAGGCGAAGGGGAGGGGGTCCCAGACGGACACAGTCCCTCTACCCAGAAAGGCCAGGAAGCTCCCACGCATCAGTTGCTTCTGTATTTGCAGGTTTAGTCGTGCTCTGGAAAACAGCTCCCCCTTAAGTGCGGGAACGGCTTTCCGTCTGGCGGCCACCATCCCTGAAATTCCCCCACTAGCCCTTCTCAGAGGAGTCACTGAAGGGGCCGGCAGCAGAGCTTGCTTCCCAGCCAAAGCCAGGCTGTTCCCTGGAAGGATGAGTCCCCCACCTTTCTGAGGTGCCCCGGGAGCTCCACACGAAGGGCTCTTCTGCCCGGGGCGTTGCGTCTCATGAGACCCCTCCTGGCCCTCCTGCTCTGCATCATCTCACCACATCACCAGACATGAACTCAGGGTTGGCACACACAAGCTTTCATTCACTCATTCGTTTGTTCACTCACCACCGAGCCCCGCCCCTGAGCCAGCGGATGGGGGTACAGCCGTGAACACGGTAGCAGGGACCTTACTTCCTAAAGCTCCCATCTAGAAAGGTGATTGGCAATCAACAGACTGGGCTCCCCTCCCTTCCCCCCTGCGAGTTCAGCCCCTTCTCCCCGCATTAGTGTTACCTCTGCCTTCCAGAGCGCCCGCCTCTCTGAGTTTCCTCAGCTTTCACTCTTAGGAAACAAAAATCTGTACTCGTAGGCCCAGGTTCCCCGCCTCCAGACCCTCAGAATGGTCATGGGTGAAAGACCTTTCACATTAGAAAACAACGTCTCAAAAATGTTCCAGAGGAAAAATAAAATGATAGCTTTTTCAGATTTTTTTTTCTTTTTTCTCTCAGAAACATGGCAGAGTTGTTTCCCTTGCTTTGGGGCTTAGGGTGGGGTCACGGGAGATCTTGCTACCAAAAAGATAAAAAGTATTTTTCCCCCAGTCTGGAAAAAAAAGGCAGAAAATATCTAAAAATACTGGTTTCGTCAGCCACCTCTGTGGTGAGAACATCAAATTTGTGTGACATGTTTTGTGAAGATCCTCAAAGTGAAATACTCAGGGGAAAGACCCTTGAACTTGTCCCCCACGACCTGTCCAGGGAATGACATTGCTCACTGGGAAAATGTTTCCCTGGGGAGCCCAGAGTGTCCACTTCCTTTGGCTGTGTCCACCGTGGGGATTCCAAGACGTTCTGACCTCAGGCTCCTTGTGGTGGCTGTTTTCCACTGCAGGGAGCAGAAGAAACAGAAACCAGAGCAGGAGGACGTGGGCAGAGTCAGGAGGAGAAGAGACAGGCCTGTGTGCATGTACATAGGCTCCACGGTGATAACTCAATTCAGCCCACATTGACCGAGACACTGTCTGTGTGACCAGCCCTGGGATCTGGGTGCCAAGGACCCAGCCCCAAACCATGAAGGTCTCAACCTGAGAACGGTTTTCAGGACCATACTAGAATCATCATTCACATCCTTGAGTGTGCTTTTCAGCTTCCCAACCATAGTGGACGCTTTAGACTCAAAAGACCCCCTAAAAATCCCAGCTGGAAGGGTATTCCCAACTGCCCAAACCCCTCAGGTTACAGGTGGGCCCCCAGAGGAAAGGTGACCTGCCCGGCATCACACAGCAAGTCCGTAGCAGAACCAAGGCACCTTGGTTTCCTGTCCCCAGTTCTGACCACAGAGAGCTGTTTCAGTGCTTGAAGAGAAGTAGACAGGCCATGGCCTGCTGGTGATGTGTCCTTGAATTTGCCACTTCTTTGATCCTCAGTTTCTTCATCATTAAGATAAGCATAATAATAGTACTTGCTTCCAAGAACTATTCTGAGATTTGTGTGAGATCGTTCACACCCAGTGCTTAGAACAGTGCCTGACACATAGTAAGTGCTCAATAAAATATAGCACTTATTAGTATCTTCATCATTATGAGCAGGACTCATTGCAAGGGCTTTTCAATCCTCCATTCGACAGGTAATTATTGAGGGTATACCTGTTTGGCAGGACACAGGGCCCATCCCTGACCTCAGGTTCTCATAGTCTGGTGGGGAAGGTACAAATAAGCAGGAGGTGGCAGTGCTGTGGAGAATCTCCCCAGTGGGATGACCGAAGTGAGGACAGTGGGAGGACAGAGGAGAGGTGGCTTCTCAGAGCTTGCTCAGCCAGAGAAAGCTTCCCAGCGGAAGGCTAGGTAGGTATTTCCTGATAGACGAAAGCCAGGGAACGAGTGAGCTGAGGGAATGGCGTGCATAAGGACCCAGCCGAGAGAAAGAACCTGGTGAGTCCAGAGCCTGGACACAGGGGAAACGGGACAGTGAGTTTGACGGGGGTGCAGTGGGTGAAGAGGGCTGGACAGGAGTGAAGGAGTAGAGACAGGGCCTGTCGAGGCCTCACTCCTCTTCACGACCTTCTACAGGTGCCTGGGAATCACCCGGATGGTTGGCCTATGTGACTTTGGGCAGGTCCCTTCCCACCTCTGAGCCTCAGTTTCCCCAGCTGCAAAAAGAGCAGGTTGGGTAAACATGACACGCAGGCCGCTCTCAGGATAAGTGCTTTGCCCTCTTTGGGAAACAGCCTGCTCCTGCGGAATTAGTTTCACTCCAAGCGAGAGTTCTCTGCCAAAGGACAAGCCTTTCCTCTTCCCTCTTCTATCTGAACCCTAGGTCAACTCCAGACTATGTCTCTTTTTTTTTTTTTTTTCCGAACCCCCACCTCACTACTTCCGGCTTTATAGAAAGCCTTGACCTTGGGCCAAAGTTCAGGAAGCCAGCCCCGACCTCAGGCAGAGGCCAAAGTGGGAAAAGAGGGGGCGGAGACCAGCTCCCCAAAGGAAAGAGCAGAAAAAGCACTTTGGCCCTGGGTCGCATTTCTGGAGCCCAACAAATGTAGACTGAATTGAACCGAATCCAAGGAGTTGATATAGACTGAACTGCAAGGAACTGGATATCTCCAGGGAGGTCATTCCCAGCTGGAGTCGCTGGGCTGGGTGTTTGCATGGAGAACATCGCCATCTAGTGGTCACTTCAGTTCTGAGCTCTGAGCCAGCTCGCCCGCCTGGCTAGCCCTGCCTGGTATGGGCGTCCCTCAGGTCTGCTTTCTCTCCCATAGGTAATGGACAGCTCGATGCCCCTGATTGGAGAGCATGTGGAAGAGGACAAACAGCTGATGGCCGACCTTGTTGTCTCCAAAATGAGCCAATTCCTGATGCCAGGAGGCACAGTGCCCTCACCCCTGAAGCCTTGGGTAAGGTCTTCAGGAACAAAGGAGACTTTGTAGCCATGAGAAATGTCAGGCTGTCTGGGAATGGGGACCCCTAGATCCAAAGGAGATAATCCCAGGAAGGAACCACCTTGGGGAGAAAGGAATGGGGTGTGGATGGAGGCTGGGCATGGAGGAGAGCTACACCCTGCTCCTGACGGGGGAATTTGGGAGGCTCTGAAGGGCCCTTGCTCTCTCACCATCCTGGGGAGAAAAACCTTGTCTCAGAAGGATTGTGGACAGAAATTGTTAACCATAGGAAGTCAGCTGTCCCTCCTGTGCCCTCCATCCTGCGCCTGAGCAGGGAGCACAGTGTGTGTGTGTGTGTGTGTGTGTGTGTGTGTGTGTGTGTGTGTGTACACACATGCCCTTTGTGTGATCCCAGGGCACAAGTAAACGGAAATGATTGTGTCTCCCAGTTCCCCATCCCCCAACCTCGACAAGCTCCCACATAGCTCCTCCCCTCCACACCATGGATTACCAGATCACTCTCCAAAGAATTTGCTAGCTCCCCAGTTTTCTGGAAAAGCAAGCGTCAAAAGCTGCCTCCCCTTTTCCCCACAAAAAAAAAAAACACTTGAATCTGTGATAATAGACATTGGAATAATGGTTACACTTGCAGGGGTTGCTGGCTGGGAGGGGGCCCAGGGCGGCCTTCTCCACTCCAAGGTTGTGCCCTCATCCAGGTGGTGGTCACTTGGGTGCGTACACGGGTAAGAATTCATTGTGCTGTACGCTTAAGAACTGCGTATTTTATGTAAGTTTTACCTCAATGATGGAAAGGTCTTCGTGAATCCTGCCCTCCCTCCCAGGAAGTCAGTGACTGTGGTGATCACAGCAGGCTTCTTCTCTCTTCTCCTCTAGGTTCCGCAGACTAAACCAGCCAAGTCCCCCGGGCCAGTCCAGCTGGGGACTCCGCTGGGACAGCCCCAGCCACGCCCACCCACGCAAGGTAGGACCCACCACCAGCCGAGAGAAACCATCCAGCAAGGATGTTGAAATGCACTGAGGGACCCATGTGTGATTTCCCGAAGGCGGTCTGGAAACATCCATCTTAATACTTTCTCCACAGAATACGTGCCCTTGCTCTAGCGGTTCTCTACCTGTGGGTCACGACCCCTTTGGGGGTCGAACGACCCTTTCACAGGGGTCGCCTAAGACCATCGGAAAACAAAAAGATATTTATATTATGATTTATAACAGTAGCAAAATTACAGTTATAGAGTAGCAACAAAAATAATTTTATGGTTGGGGGTCACCACAACATGAGGAACTGTATTCAGGGGTCGCGGCATTAGGAAGGTTGAGAACCGCTGCTCTAGATGCAGAATGCTTGAGACTTTGAGGTCAGTCAGCCCCTTCAAGTCAGGCAGGAAAGACAGCAAGTAAACATATTAAGTACCTAATGTGTGCCAGGCCCTGTGCTTGGGTCTTTCCCATCTATATTCTCATGTTTAGCCTCCCCAGCACTCTACAGTGACAAAAAAAAAAAAA